GCTGTTCGAATTGAGATCGGGAGGTCATGCCACCAGCCGGACACAGTCCAAAGGTCTGTGAGAGTAATTTTGTGCCTCTTTGGGATGGCACCGCAAGGCACCGTTCACTTACAGAACGCAAGCTTTTGGACGGCGCATAAGTTTGAACTAGCGAGTTTAGGTATATTGGTGCAGCACCAGTGGTGGTCTTGTAGGCAAGCATCAGTACCTTGAATTTGATGCGATGACTACTGGTAGCCAGTGTAACCTGATGAGGAGAGGAGTAATGTGAGCTTTTTTTGGCTCATTGAAGACCACTCTCGCTGCTGCATTCTAGATCAGTTGCAGAGGCTTGATAGTGCATGCGGGAAGGCCCACCGAGAGAGCATTACAATAGTCCAGTCTGGAGAGAACAAGAGCTTGGACAAGAAGGTGTGTGGCTTGCTCTGACAGGAAGGGTCTAATCTTCCTAATGTTGTATAAGGCAAATCTGCAGGACCGTGCCGTTGTAGTAATGTGGTCTGTGAAGCTTAAGCTTAGGTTTCTGGCTGTCCTGGAAGGAGTTATGGTTGATGAACCCAGCTGTATAGAGCAGCTGTGATGAAACGATGGGTTTGCTGGAACCACAAGCAGTTCTGTCTAAGTAAGGTTGAGTTGAAGGTCCTTCATCCAGCTAGAAATGTCTCTCAGACAGGCTGCAATGCGAGCAGCTACCGTCGGATCATCTGGTTGGAATGAGAAGTAGAGTTGAGTGCCATCAGCATAGCAGTGATAAGAAAAGCCATGCTTCTGAATGACAGATCCTAATGATGACATGTAGATGAAGAAGAGAAGTGGTCCAAGCACCGAGCCTTGAGGAACCCCAGTGGCAAGAAGTTGTGACTTAGAAACCGCCCCTCCAAGACACCCTGAAGGACCTATCTGAGAGGTAGGACTTGAACCACAGGAGTGCTGTTCCTGAGATGCCCATCTTTCTGAGGGTGGACAGGAGGATCAGGTGATTAACTGTGTCAAAAGCAGCAGACAGATCCAGCAAGATGAGTACTGAGGATTTGGAAGCTGCTCTTGCCAGTCTCAGGGCTTCAGTAACCGAGAGCAGGGCAGTCTCAGTTGAGAGGCCGCTTTTAAAGCCAGATTGGTTGTTGTCCAGGAGGTTGTTCTGTGCAAGAAACATAGAGAGTTGGTTGAACACAACTCGCTCAAGTGTCTTTGCAATGAATGGAAGAAAGGATACCGGTCTGTAGTTTTCTAAAAGTGCTGGATTTAGAGAGGGTTTTTACCCGAGCCTGCTTAAATGCTGTGGGAAACGTACCAGTGTGAAGAGAGGTGTTGATAATGTGAGTAAGTGAAGGCATGACTGAAGAAGAAATGGCCTGAAGGAGGTGAGTGGGAGTTTAGAGCGATGTTCACGGATAACATCGGACAGCCAGGGGGCAGAGGGGGTGGTCTGTGCTGGTCTGGATGAAAGTGGGCAAAAGTTGTCTAAGCAAGATGTTAGCGTGGAGCAAAGAGTGTCAGTAGCACTGGTTTGTGTCCAGTGCTGAAAACTGAGCGGGTGAAGGAAGTGAGGATGAAACCATAGAATATAGGCGAGAGAGAGAGAGACTGAGCGTAGGTTACGTCGAAAGGTGACCTGCGGAGGAGTTTGTGTGAGGTTGGAAGTGGTCTGAGGTGTGCAGTGGAGTAACTAAAGTGTTGTCAGTGGAGCAATAGCATGTGTAGATGAGGTCCAGTTGGTTACCTGATTTGTGAGTAGCCATAGTAGACACTCGCTTGAGATCAAATGAGGCGAGCAGAGTGTTGAAGTCAGCAGCCTGGGGTTTTTCTAGGTGGATGTTGAAGTCACCGAGCAGTACCAGAGGAGTACCATCCTCAGGAAAGTTTGATAGTAACACATGAGAGTCCAAACTCACATCACAATAATCCACAAGTAATCCACAGCACTCCAGTCCATCAGTTAACATCTGGAGAAGACAAAAGCTGAAACTGATCCAACATTAATCCATAACTTTTCCTCCAGTAAAAAAGTGCATCTCCTGTTGTCTCTCACATCAAAATCCAGTCACATATGTGTTTAGAGCTGTTTAAACGCTGCTTGATCTGTGCAGATTTCTCTCCTGATTCACACCAGAACACTTTTTCACTGGAGCAAGCATTGTTATGGATTAATGCTGGATTTGTTTCAGCTTTTGTCTTCTCCAGATGTTAACTGATGGACTGGAGTGCTGTGGATTACTTGTGGATTATTGTGATGTTTTTATCAGACTCTCATTCTGACGGCACCCATTCACACCCATTGGTGAGACACTGATGCAATGCTGCATTTCTCTAAACCTGATGAAGAAACAAACTCATCACTTGGATAGCACAAGCATTATATAACATCAGAAGACTTGAATATAGTGCATGAGTCATATAGTCTACTATTATGATGCTGCAGAAAGAAAATGCCATGGAAACATCCTCATCATTCTGCACAGTGCAATCCATCATACTATGAACTTGAATGCATTACACATCCTACACACTGTACAGCTTCTATTAAAGTAAGGTTGTTGTTTTTTTCAGTTGTTCTCTTTAAGCTCACATAGATGTGGTCGTTCACGTTCTCTCTGGAGCAGATGGAGCAGACGAGCAGACATGACCTCTGGGGTCACCGCACCAGCAGGACGACAAATGAGGACATCTGGAGCTAAAACTACAGAACAGCTTCATAGAGACGTCACACTAGACTTTACACTTGCTGAAGAACATCAACAGCAAACCTCACCACCATGATATTCCAGCTGGCTGTCAAGACACAAATAACTTTGTATTTGCCCTGAATAAACAAGACTTAAAAAACATCAACGCAAGAGTTATTTACTGTAAAGAAAAATACTTTTATATACATCTTATGAATTCAGAGTCACACGGTCCTTCAGAAATCATTCTAATGTGCTGATTTGCTGCTCATTATCTGATTATCTGATATTATATTTCTGATTATTATCAATGTTGAAAACAGTCGTGCTGCACAGTATTTCTGTGGAAACCGTAATACACAACCATTCAAAGCTTTTGGGTAAATGAGATTTAAAAAAGAAAAAGAACGTCACACTTTTGTTCATCAAGGATGCATTAAATTGATAAAAAGTGGCAGTGAAGACATTTATAATTTCAGATAAACGCTGTTCTTTTGAACTTTCTATTCATCTGTGAATCCCGAAAAATAAAATGCATCAGTTTCCACAAAAATATGAAGCAGCACAACTGTTTTCAACATTGATAATAATCAGAAGTGTTTCTTGAGCAGCAGATCAGCATATTATACTGATTTCTGAAGATCATGTGACACTGAAGACTGGAGGAATGATGCTGAAAATACAGCTGCGCATCACAGAAATACATTACAGTTTAACAGATGTTCACATAGAAAACAACTGTTTTAAATTAAAAAAATATTTCACAATTTTACTGCATTTCTTCAAAGAGACATGAAAACATTTTTAAAAATCTTAACCAATTCAAACGTTTGACCGTTTTTTTTTTTTAATAATAAAAAAAATTCTAAAATAGTTTTACAAGTAATTTTACACACTTACATGAATTAGTTAAATGTTCATTAATTCACACATATGAACACGAGGGACACAAACGGCTCCCATTTAGTAAAATGAAGTACCTGTAACACAATTCAGATTCTGGCCCGACTGATATGAATGTTTCTTTATTAGTCTCCCAAAAAATATTTAAGAAACAAAGCAGAGTCAATGATTATATCAAGGCCAAAGCAAAATGTAGATCTGAATAAAAAAAATTAAAAAAAGCATCAGACTGCAGGAGTTTGTCACAGCGAGCCGAATAACGCTGTATTAGAGCGACTCCTTGTGGTGAAACAACCACAGAAACTCTTTAGCTATTACAAACAATGAGTAAAGATGAATATCGTGTTCTCTTAAAATGTTTATTATCGTTAGATTCATGTTGGGACAACGAATACGAGTAATAGTTCATCTTTTCCAGTGTACACCAGATCATTACACATACAAACAGAAGATGATATGAACACAAATTAGCAAGTGTTTGTCTGTGAACATCTCAAAGCAAGGATCATTCGCTCACACAGTCTGTCGCTGTAATCACGTATTAGGGCCCAAAAGCGTCACCCGCAACACTCGGCTCTTCACACGGTGATATTTTCAGTCACACGTGCTGCTGGTCTCTTGATATTCCTACTGTGTAAAATGAGGTACCTGTAACACAATTCAGATTCTGGCCCGACTGATATGAATGTTTCTTTATTAGTCTCCAAAAAAATATTTAAGAAACAAAGCAGAGTCAATGATTATATCAAGGCCAAAGCAAAATGTAGATCTGAATAAAAAAAATTAAAAAAAGCATCAGACTGCAGGAGTTTTTTCACAGCGAGCCGAATAACGCTGTATTAGAGCGACTCCTTGTGGTGAAACAACCACAGAAACTCTTTAGCTATTACAAACAATGAGTAAAGATGAATATCGTGTTCTCTTAAAATGTTTATTATCGTTAGATTCATGTTGGGACAACGAATACGAGTAATAGTTCATCTTTTCCAGTGTACACCAGATCATTACACATACAAACAGAAGATGATATGAACACAAATTAGCAAGTGTTTGTCTGTGAACATCTCAAAGCAAGGATCATTCGCTCACACAGTCTGTCGCTGTAATCACGTATTAGGGCCCAAAAGCGTCACCCGCAACACTCGGCTCTTCACACGGTGATATTTTCAGTCACACGTGCTGCTGGTCTCTTGATATTCCTACTGAAAAGGAACTAGATTGTGTTCAGAAGATCCGAGGAGTCAAAGCTTACAGTCACACGATTCGCTTTAAAGAGCTCACTTTTCTTTTTCGTCTCTCTACACTCGGAGAACAAGGACAGATTAGGCTCTAAGAGAACCAAAAATTCAGTTAAAATGATCCTTCTGTCATCATTTACTCACCTTCACGTCATTCCAAACCGCTGTGAAACGCGAAAGGAGACGTTTAACAAAATGTTCACGCTGTAGAAACATCATTAAGCACTTTTACTTTTCCATTTGTGATCCACAGAGGAAATTAAATGGTTCGCAATGACATGAGTGCAAGTGACAGAATGTGCATTTTTGCATGAATTATTCCATTAATAGGAACGGTTCACGCAAAAATGAGATTAGGATGAGTTTGTTTTTTCATCAGATTTGTAGAAATGCAGCATTGCATCACTTGCTCAGCAATGGAAGCTCTGCAGTGAATGGGTGCCGTCAGAATGAAAGTCTGATAAAAAACATCACAATAATCCACACGTGATTTCTCTCCTGATTCACACCAGAACACTTTTTCACTGGAGGAAGCATTATTATGGATTATGGACTTAATGTATTTTAGTTAAAAGTGTCTTAATGCTGGATGTGTTTCAGCTTTTGTCTTCTCCAGATGTTAACTGATGGACTGGAGTGCTGTGGTAAATTAAAGATAAAGAAAATTATGCATTTTTTGTATTGTGTAAATAAGTCAATTAAAGACATTTTCCTTCAAAAATCTCATTACTGCAATGCTAGGAAAAAAAAGTAAATATAAAAATATGCTAAATAATATAGCCTAATAATATTAAATGTCCAACATTTTCATTAAGGGCAGCTGAAATTAATTTTACTGTTTTTAAACAAAAAGGCCATTTAAATGAATATATAAAATGAATTAAAAACACATTTGGAATGCACTTTTTATGAGTACGCATTCATTGAGAACATTAATACTTTATATATAATACACAATTAACCTTAAATCTTGATAGTGATAAAAATATTTGTACTCATTTATCAACTACTGCAATTTAACCTCTTCGCATGTAATTTGTGGAAGCTTCATTGGAAACTGTAACTTTCACACGCTTCTTTGAGAGATTCATTGAAAAAAGCAGCAGTGTATTTACCTAATATTCGACAGACGTCGTCACAGTTTTGATTGATTTCATGAAGCCAGCGTTTGACGTTCACGAACGACTCGGCGCTGGAGACGTCGTAAACCACTATAACGCCGTGAGTGCCTCTATAGTACCTGAAAGAGACCACCGCACACACACACACACACAACCACATCAGCGCTCTGAAGCTTTACGAACACACCGCAATAAAAGTCCTGAGACAGACACACGGATGGACACGAGGACAGGTTTGTTCATTCCAGCTCCCAGGGCTATATTCACTGAGAGAAATAAGTGAAACACAGACAAAGCAAATAAAAACAACCTATGCATGATTTTTAAAGTTTAGCACAAGGACAAGAAAACCTGGGGTTTGAAAGTTGATGAAAAGCAATTTAATTAAACCATAAGAATGCTAAATTCAAATAAATAATTAATTATTATAATATAATTAAAAATAAACAATTTAAAATAAAACACACACACACACATATATATATATAAATAATTAATAATAATATATTTATTAGTTAACCTGCATGTCATGTGACCAACATCACAGAACTATATAAAAAATATTTTTTTAATTATTGAAATATTTAACTTAAAATCTCAGGGGGACTTCAAGTAAATATTTTAGCTCAAAAGGGTTTGGCTGGGAAAAACAAAAAAAGGTTTGGGAATCTGATTGAACCCTCTGGGCCTCTTCGTTTAGTCCTTCGCGGTCAAAAGTGAGCGAAGCCTCAAAAAGTATCTCTTTTTTTTCCAGGAAAATCAATGTAATATATTTTTGTTCAATAATATTTTTTGATTCTTATTTATAATTTTGAGGGAATTTTATGATACTACGCAATATCTATACAATTTTAATGAGCTATTTGTTCCATTAGAATAAAAAAAAATTATTTCTTCATTTCTGTATTTTAATATTTCACATTAAAATAGAGTGAAGGCATTTAAAATCCATTTTTTGAAGTGAGAATTGTGCCGTAACATTGCGTAACCTCCTGTACAGCTCCCTATATCAATATATACAGAAGCTTTTGGATGCCCGTTGTTTTTTTAGACATCATTTCTTTATTTAATCAGGTTTTGCATTTAGATTTATATTTAGACATTATAAAAGATTGTTTTGTGTGTTCATATTGCTAATGCGACAAAAGTCACCAAGTGTCATCTCATTCTGATGAAGCTACGATAAAATAAAAAAAAGTCAAAATATAATATTTTTCGGTCAAAAATGACCGAAGAGGCCCAGAGGGTTAAGAGATTAAACAACTAGATCCACACATTCAGCAGGACTGGAACGCCTGGCATCCACTGAACTCCACATATTCTGTTTATTACGTTTTAGATAATCTCATCATGCTCTCACTGACAAATAACAATGCATTTTAACACATTTAACCATCTTTAAATCCACAGATTTGTCCTGAAATCAACACTTAAAATGCAAAAAGTCCACCTGGACTCCAACATGTGCAGTGTTTGGAATAAAAGACAAGTAATCAATTCTAAACGAGACTAGATCTGCACATCTTCTGAAGGAAAGGGTGACCCGCGACTCTCACTTCCTGCGACTGACATCGCTGACAGGAAGTGGTTGTCTGAGGTGGCTTTTCTCAAGGCACACATCTTCAGGATTTGAGAATCGCTGGTGTTCTTCGTGTTTCGACGGCGTCAGCGGGTCTGAAGCGCGAGCTCTTTCTCACGAGCCGTAACACAGGCTGTTTCTGAGCTGAAACTCACTTATTCTAACAGGAGACCGTCTCACTGCGCTCGCAAACTCACTCCTGCTGGAGCTCAGGGCTTTATATAGAACAAATATAACAATGTAGAAAATAAATATAAAGGGTGAGAGAGCCAAACACCAAAGCGAAGCTAAATAAAAATATCAATAAATTCATTAAAAAATTAAAGTCGATTTATCTTGGGAGATATTTCAGGAACATGTCATATTATAATGTAAAGAATTTAACAGCCGAGATTTATTTTTTTTATTTTTATTTTTTATGTATTAATAGAATCAATCAATTTAAAAATAAACTAATTTTACTCATGCATTAAGTAGATTGAAAGATTGAGATCATCATGCATCAGTAAAATCAATACCGTCTTCCACAAAAGCATGGATTTGAAACAATAGGCTAATTAATTATTTAATAACTACTCTAAAACCACACTAAGGCACTTCCAAGCTCGATAGGATTTAACGCTCCAGTTTGCTCTCTAAACACATGAACTCGTGTCTTGGAAAGCATGAGGTCACGTCACACACCGCTCTCTCAGTAAACCGAAACTGAATGCATGAAGTGTCTAAAGGAAGGAGGTTTCTGAAAGAGGAAACAAGACGCTTCAGAACCGGCTGCGGCTCAGTCTGTGTGAGTTCACATCAGTCAGACATCACCACTGCGGCACACCTCACCTTTAAGACGGATTTGCTCAAAGGTAATTCTAAGAATCAGAGACACGGTTCACAGAGCCCTGTTCATCAGAACAACCCGTTCAGAACTGCCACGAAGCACACGGCAGCCATATGCAGCTCTACTCAGAACCTAGTAAACAAAGAGACCGAGAGAGCTGCTATTGACCAACCCGGCACGCTTAACTAGCGTAGAGAAGTCACACCGGTCTGGAGAAAAAAACTAAACATTTTATTGTGATTCTTGTGATAAAAATCATTATAATATAATTTGCCGTATAATAAATTTATTATATATATTATATGATTATTAGGCGATTTCTAAAAAAATACTAAAAATATTTCACTGCAAAAAAAAAAAAAATTATAATATAATTTGCCGTATAATAAATGTATGATATATATTATATAAATATTAGTCTATTTCTAAAAAAATATTAAATTAACAAAATATTTCACTGCAAAAAAAATAATAATTATAATATAATTTGCCGTATAATAAATTGATTATATATATATTATAGAAATATTAGGCGATTTCTCAAAAAATATTAAATAAAATATTTCACTGCAAAAAAAAAAAATCATTATAATAAATTTGCCGTATAATAAATTTATTATATATATGTTATATAAATATTAAGTCTATTTCTAAAAATATATTAAATTAACAAAATATTTCACTGCAAAAAAAAAAATTATTATAATATAATTTGCCGTATAATAAATTGATTATATATATATTATAGAAATATTAGGCGATTTCTCAAAAAATATTAAATAAAATATTTCACTGCAAAAAAAAAAAATCATTATAATATAATTTGCCGTATAATAAATTATATATATTATATAATTATTAGGCTATTTCTACAAAATATATATATATATAAAATATTTCACTGCAAAAATAAATTGTAAATAACTTCATAAAAATTAAACATAGTTAAGAAAAATAATATAAAAATAATAATTTTATTTTACAGCACTAATATAGCTGTCTTTGGATAAAAGCAGGGCTGTCGCGATTCGTCGATTTTATTCGACTTTAAAAAATCCTCGACTAACCGGCAAAATACCGGAAGTGGTGCATTTCACGGACGAGAATCCATAAAACACATTATTAGTCTGTTTTCCAAGGCCTTGTGATATATTAAACCCATTTAAAAATAATTAAGCATAACTGTGAATTCACAAACGCTATGATTTAATTAAATAATTATATGCGATGCAGTTATAGGCGTGTAGGTTACGTACGTGCGTCACACAGCGGCTCCGTTCACAGTAAATGCTGTTCTACAGGAACTGTTATCATTTACATACGTGTGTGCGGAGCGGCTCAAACTCCATCTCTGCATGTTGTTGTGAGTTTGGGTTTATTATAACCTTCATCTGGGAGCGCAACGTGCGCCATTTCATCAGATTTGTAAGATAAATCATTTATAAACCCTCACTCTACTTTTGTCCTTATTTTCTTTTTATTAGGTTTGTTTACATTTATACTTTTTATGGTACACTACTGAATGGCAAAGTTGCAAGTTTAAGAAAATGCTCTTTAAAATAGTTGATTTTTAATCGATTAATCGATAAATTAGTCGATAGATTAATCGAAATATGAATAGTCGTTAGTGGCAGCCCTAGATAAAAGTGTCTACTAAATGCATAAATATACACTACCAGTCAAAAGTTTTTAAACGGTAAGATTTTTAATGTTGTATAAAGAATTCTCTTCTGCTCACCAAGCCTGTATTTACAGCAAACGCAGTTAAATTGTGAAATATTTTTACTATTTAAAACAGCTGTTTTCTCTGTGAATCTCTGTTAAGCTGTAATATATTTCTGAGATGCGCAGCTGTATTTTCAGCATCATTCCTCCAGTCTTCAGTGATCTTCAGAAATCAGTATAATATGCAGATTTGCAAAAACATTTGATTGTTATAATTTCTTCATTTTCAAACATTACACCATCAAATGTCTATTTTAATGCAAACCTGCAGGAAGCCCTTAAACCTTCTCTTTTGTTCTCATAAGTCGTTTGTGAAGTCTGTGAAATGTTTCCAAATCGAAGCAACTCAAACGCCGATGCAGCCGGACTTCCCGAGGATCACTGACTGTGACTCACGAGGCTCTGAGACACACCGCTGCTCGCGCGTAAACGAACACAGTGCCGCGCTTCACTCCGAAACCTCTGAGACTTGAAGAACTCTTCATTTGATAACTGCACTAAAAAGAAAGCGTCCTAAACTTCAACAGAAACGGGAGGCGGCATCGCTTTAACGCGTCACTCACGTGGAGGTGATCGTCCGAAATCTCTCCTGTCCCGCTGTATCCCAAATCTGCAGCTTGACTTTCTCCCCGTTGATCTCCACCGTGCGAATCTTGAAGTCCACACCGATCGTGGTGATGTAGCTGCCTGCAACAGCACACACAAACCAGCGTAAAAATCACAAAACACTCCTGGAAATAAGCCGTAATGGAGAGCGCAACTACAAGCCTGCTGATTTTATTACCACAGGTCATAAATTTGCTAGCATTACTGTAAGCTTTATCACATTAACCAGCAATTACTGTGCAGCTGTTGGCAGGATCGTAGAAGTCAGCACGACCTCCAGCAGCTCAACGCATTAACACGAGATACTAGATCTCTGGCTTCTATAACGACGGACCCCTAGTACTTCTTTCACAGTTAATGTTTGTTAAAAGCACGTGTGACGTGTTGAACGCACCTGAAAATGTGTTATCAGCAAATCTCAGCAGTAAGCTGCTTTTGCCAACACCTGAGGAAAAACAGAAGAAAAACATTACAGCTTCACACCGACGACACGAAACCACATTCATAAACTCTGTGGTCATAACTCACTTTCTGTACTTTTATAAAGTCATTCATTTAATATCACATTACTATAAACACATATTATATATATATATATAAAAAATTAAATGTAATAATATATATATATATATAACATTTTAAAACAATTTAAATATTATTTTAAATATTATTCACATTAATATATAAACATTATATATATTTTTTATTTATATAATTAAATTTAATGTATATGTAATTGTAAACCATTAAAAATGTTATACACATTACTATATTTTTTTATTTATTTAATAATAATAATTATATATATATATATATATATATACACACATATACATATACAATTTTTTAAATAATATTTTCAATATTATTGATATTATTATACACACACACACATATATATATATATACTAAAAATTTAAACAATTGAAGTATTTTTCACATTATAATATATATATTTTTTTTATTGATTAATTTATATATCAGTACAACATCTCAACACTAAATACATAGATCCCAGGCTGACAGGATCCATACTAAGTTTGTTTATGCATCAATACTCTCGCAGCACATTAAACAAACATGCCAGGCAGCGTAACATATTAATATCTCACTTTATTAGACAATAAAAAAGAATGTAAGAACACGCCCAGACTGAATGCCTCTAACCTGGTGCCAGGCCCATTACATGAGCTAAAGCAGAAACAGCATCAAATCTCACTTATAAGCTCTCAGATTAATCAGTGTCTGTGTCGCGTGTAAATCCAGCACAGATAACGCCTCTGAAGAGGTTCTGGCTCGTGTCGTGTCGCTCTAAGCGAGCCGAGGCCTACTCCTCGTCTCATCCTCGGTGTTTCCTTACCGCTGTCGCCGATGATGAGCAGCTTGAAGAGGTAATCATAGTCCCGCGCCATGGCCCGGCCCGGCTCGGCTCGAGTCCCCCGCGCGGAGAGGCTCTTTTGGAAGCGAAACCTCCCGCTGCTGCTCCTCCTCTCCCGGCGGAGAGGCAGCCGTATATGTGCTTTAGCGTCTCCCCCGGTTTATTTTGAGCGGTTTGCGGGGTATCGGAGGCTCACACACCCATCTCACACTCACAGCGGATCTGACGCGGCTCACACAAACCCCGCCCACTACAACGCCTGATGACTTACTGCGCATGCGCACAAACACACAGCGGTACTGCAGCAGAGCCTCCAGCAGGGGGAGCTGAAGTTGATAAACTTTTGTTATGATGATAAACCCATACTTATATCACAATAATAATAATACTTTTTATTTATATAGCGCCTTTCCAGGGCTCAAGGACGCTCACTAGATAAACAGCACATAAACACAAACATTGATTAATAAAAGTACCATTTATTTGATCAGTAAAACAGTAATATTGTGAAACATTACTACAATTTAAAATAGCTGTTTTTTATGTGAATATATTGTATTTTCAGCATCATTCCTCCAGTCTTCAGTGTCACATGATCTACAGAAATCATTCTGATATGCTGATTTGATGCTCGAGAAATATTTCTGATTATTATCAATGTCGTAATCATGATGCACACCCATTCAAACGTTTGAGATTTTAAAGAAAAAGAAATTCGTGCTTACATTCTGCAAAGGATGCATTAAATTGACCAAAAGTGACAGTAAGGACTTTTATAAAGTTACAAAATATACATTTAAAATAAATGCTGTGTTTCTGAATCCTAAAAAAAAAAAAAAATCATATCACAATCTGTTTCCACAAAAATATTGTGCAGCACGAATGTTTTCAACATTGATAATGGCTTATGGTAGAGAAATGAACATTCAGTTCACGGTCAACAGCTCTGGTGGACATTCCTGCAGTCAGCATGCCAATTGCACGCTCCCTCAAAACTTGCGACATCTGTGGCATTGTGCTGTGTGATAAAACTGCACATTTTAGAGTGGCCTTTTATTGTGGCCAGCCTAAGGCACACCTGTGCAATAATCATGCTGTCTAATCAGCATCTTGATATGCCACACCTGTGAGGTGGATGGATTATCTCGGCAAAGGAGAAGTGCTCACTAACACAGATTTAGACAGATTTGTGAACAATATTTGAGAGAAATAAGCCTTTTGTGTACATAGAAAAAGTCTTAGATCTTTGAGTTCAGCTCATGAAAAATGGGGGCAAAAACAAAAGTGTTGCGTTTATAATTTTGTTCAGTATATATAT